GCAGAGGGAGGCTGCAGACACTGAGCGGTTGGTTAGGTGGATGAGTCTGGCAGCTGCATTCATGATAGACTGCAGGGGGGAGGAGTCTGTGCAGAGGTCGGCCAATGAGGAGGGAGTTGCAATAGTCAAGACGAGAGATAACAAGTGAGTCGATGAGTAAACAATAATAAACAAAGTCCCCCGGGGACGTTTGTTTGGGGCATGTTGCACAGTGACGGCCCACTCCCAGTGCGCTGTCACCGTGCAAGAAACAATACAGCAAGATAGCAGCTCATTGTATCTCTTCTCTCCCCCACAATTAGGAAGTCATGGCCAGGGGTTGGGGAGAGAAGTGCAGACACAAAATAACAAAGAGATGCTCACTGCCTCTGGCGAGTGCCCTTCTGGCCAGCCGGCTGCCTCCTTCCCTCTGCTAAGCAGGGCGAGCTTCTCCTGGCACCGTCAACACAGATGCTGAACAGAGAGACTCAGCTCGATGTGCACACCTGCGCCTGGTCAGACCCGGGTTTGGTTCACCTTCTGCAAATCATTCTTTAACATAGTCATTGATAATTGGGTGTGTTGGGTGCGCACAGCACACGTGCGGCAAAAAGTGTCATAAAAACAAAAGTTTCCCGGGTACATAATGCGGATGCTTCACTCTTACAGTCTGTGATAACCAGCCAGGAAGGTCCATCTGCTATTAAGCTATTGATGTATGTTGATAATCTAACACAGAGGTGGTCACCAAAGGGCCGAACATAATTGATCAAGTGAATGTAAAACTATACAAAGTAATCCGAGACTGCGGGCTTGCCCCACGTGCATGCCCCACGGGCGAGGGCCACGGGGCAGATTTAGAAAGATTGAATATGATTCTGAAATTTAAATTAGATTTACTAAACCTAAATGAGAGAGATCTTCCGGCAGATTTCTCTCTCTGTCTCGTATGTTCATCTTCCTCTTTACTGAGCGCTCTGTGCTGTTCTCTGCAGGGAAGGAGGCGAGGAAGAGGGAGCTGAAGAAGGTGAGTGAGTCTTTTAATCATCTCTATGTCTTCTGTTAATGCCGATCTCCAATATACTTTACACTGCTGGCGGGGGGCGCAGGCTTCGGTGCTGCATAGAGAAGTAAGGGGTGTAGCTTGGGGCGCAGGCTTCGGTGCTGCATAGAGAAGTAAGGGGTGTAGCTTGGGGCGCAGGCTTCGGTGCTGCCGGTGCAGAGAGCATTGGCATGACAGAATGCAATGCCAGCCGGGAACGTTCATGTAAGGGTGACCACACTGGGGGTCCATGGGGACCCTGAAAGGCAACATAGCCACTCTATAGGCAGAGTATTGCATGCCTGGTTTGCAGAAATGACGGCCTGCGCAAGAATAGTTGACAACTAGGAAGATAGTGCATAAAGTTTGCTGCTAGATTTTTTTTAAGGGTTTAATAACACTTTAAAGGAGAACGATGAGGGGGAGGGGCTTCTCACTCACCTCATAGTTCCAGCCGACCTGTGACAATGAGACTGTCACAGTTCGGCTCAGTAGATCGGGAGGTGAGCGAACACATACCGGCGTTCGCTCACCTCTCGATCCTGTCACGGCTCTCTGCCGTGACAGGGGAGGGGCTGGATTCCCCCCTCCCCGCTCCGATCTGCCAGCGCTGACTGGCGGAACGGACGGGGGAGGGGGCGGGTACAGCTGGCTCTGCCTCTAGATAGGCAGAGCCAGCTGTCACTCACGCAGCTGGGCGGATCTCGACATCGATGTCGGGATCCGCTCCGGCGTCTCAGTATGTAGCTCGCGGTATACTGAGCCTAGGGTGACGGGAGGACTATGGGGAAAAACACTGACCCCATAGTTCTCCTTTAATCTCTCTCCTGGAAATTAGAGTGTGAATTACCCTGTTACAGGTCAGTGTCTAGACACTAATCCCGGAGTGCGGGCTTGTTAACCAATTTTCACATCTATTTTCTAGAACAAGAAGCAGCGGATGATGGTGAGGGCGGCTGTGCTGAAGATGAAAGATCCCAAACAGATCATCCGCGACATGGAGAAACTGGATGAAATGGGTGAGTTGAGGGAACCGCGACCTTCCGTTCACGGAGAGGCACATAAACCTCCATGGCACAGCAGCAATCCTGTATCAGATTCAGTTACAATTCGCTATATACTGAGCTTTGGGTCACAGGAGGACGTTCGAATATGTCCTCCTGTGACCCTTAAGAGAACTATGAGATAAAAAGGTTACCCCATAGTTCTCTTTTAAGGCTCGTTTCCTGCACATACAGCAGGCATAGGTGTCTGGTGCCCTGGACAGGAAGTGTGGGGCTGATGGCTGACTCTATCTGTGAGGATTATAGAACAAGGAAGAAGATTTGTTTTCAGTACACAGACTGAAGGTAAAAAATTAGCTCCAGTCCGATGAAAAGCAGTTTCTGCTCAGAGTGGGGCTTTAATGATGTAATGATTCATATAATGAATACAGAACTTCATTCATTTGAGTCTTTCCATCTGTCTGGAGTGAACCCCGGGCAGCATCTTGGGTCCGTGCAGCATATTGGGTTGGCTGCACAGTTAGGATTTGCAGTCCCTTCTCATGCCATCCGGTACAGCTGCTGATCATCGCATGTACCGTATTTGCCGGTGTATAAGACAACCCCCCACTTTTTGTGTTAAAATATAGGTTTTGGGCTATACTGGTCGTATAAGACGAGTAGAGCCCAAAATAATGTTTAGTCAGGCTTTGTATTAATGAATACAAAGCCTGCCGTGATTGGCTCAGCGCGGTGTACTGTATGTAGCCAAAGCTACATACAGTATACCGTATCCTTCTGCATGTACCCGGCGTATAAGACGACCCCCGATTTTCGGGGGATGTTTTAAGGTTTCAAAACCCGTCTTATACGCCGGCAAATACGGTATGTTTCGCTGCTGGCTACAAGTTGCCAAAGAAAAAGTCCTGTGGCGGTTTCAGAATTGCTTGAGTAGCATACAAGGGCCACTATTAGAAATAATGGGGCACTGTACAGCCAACCTGAAAGCATCACCCCCCTCCCCCCAAACCGGATGGGTAGGAGTCCTCAAACCAAGCAGAGGTATGCCACCAGCGACATGAGCTGGCAGCTGAGATTTGTCCAGGGTGAGTGCTGAGGTCCAGAACAGAGCCATGGACACTGCACTGAGGTTGTCTACAGGTAGCTCCTGCTGTGCTCGTGCCCAGTACGGAACTACTGTCTGTACCCAATGTAGGTGACCCTGGTGGCATGGCTACATCTTTGCATTTGTTTCTTCACTTTTGTTTGTAGAATTTGCATTGGAAATTGTTTCTTATTGTGGTGTGTCCCACTGAAACTCCGCAGAGTTCAATCCCGTCCAGCAGCCGCAGCTCAATGAGAAAGTCCTTAAAGACAAGCGGAAGAAGCTGAGGGAGACCTTCGAGCGGATCCTGCGTCTGTATGAGAAGGAGAACCCCGAGACGTACAAAGAGCTACGCAAGATAGAGCTGGAGTATTATATAATAATCCGGCCACTCGGTGTATATAATAATCCGGCCACTCGGTGTATATAATAATCCGGCCACTCGGTGTATATAATAATCCGGCCACTCGGTGTATATAATAATCCGGCCACTCGGTGTATATCTATATATGGGATCTCCTACCTGCTAGATGATATGACACGCATACTATGGTGTATCTGGGCTTTATGGCTGCATAGAATAAAGAGGGTGACATTTTTGCAGTTCTGTAGACTCCACCCATTGCACTATTGCTAGTGACCATCATGGACATCGGCTCTGCATTTGCTGGCCAGTAATGTGATTCTTGTTATCTGTCCGTGCAGAACGCTCAGCATGTGGAGGTGGAGAGTATTCCGCTGCCGGATCTTCCTCATGCCCCTTCTAACATTCTCATCCAAGACATTCCTCTGCCCGGGGCTCAGCCACCCTCCATTCTGAAGAAGACTTCTGCTTATGGGTAAGATGAGACTTTTAATGTCGTCTTTGGATCACAAGCTGCAATCTGTGCAATACATTTTCCCCTTATTTTATCCCTTTAAAAACTCTGCAAGTACAGAATTATACCCATTGATCAGCCAGAAATCCTGTGAGCTCCTAAATTCCTGTAGTGAACTGACAACTCTACCTCTGCTGCTCTGAAAGCCCAGTCAGGGTTGTCAGATGAGTTCTCCCCTGCTGGTCTACAGAATTCCACCCTCTCTCCTCATCTCTATAACTTAAAGCATACCACCTTCTACCCCAAATTGGACAAATCTTTGTCATCCTAATCCCCCTTTTCTGACAAATTATTTAAATGTAACTAAAACTGCAGCATTCATTTAAAAAAAAAAAAACTTTGATCAGCTCTCCCCTTACGGGGCCCTCAGTTTGGGCACTGGTGGTGTAATCCTTGCCTTACCGAGGCCTTCTGGGAAAGACGACAAGCAGATCTCATAAATGATGCAGTTTGAATGACTTTTGCATACATACATACATACATACATACATACATACATACATACATATTAAAATGTGGAACCGGGATGACAGACGAAAGAAGATTTGTACAAGGGATGCACAGATACTAGTATCGGTATCGGTGCCGATACCAAGTATTTGGGCGAGTACTCGCCCAAATGCTCCGATGCCTAGCCCAATACCCGAACTTCTGGTTTTAGGAAGCCGGGCAGCAAGTCGTAACATGCTGCCCGTCTTTCTGATTGGCCATGGAGCCTGCTTCATGCTCCCTTGTCACCTTGGTGACGAAGGAGGATGGAGCCGGCCAATCGGGAAGCCGGGGGCCGTGTTACGACTTGCTGCCTGGCTTCCTGATTGGTCGAGAAGCTGGCCAATCATTTATGTGGTAAAATTAGAAAACAGACTTTTATATTTTCAGGCCTCAGGGGCGTGGCGTATCTGTGACCTATCCACCAGGACACGGCGTCCCTCGCCTACCACCGGGCAGAAAACCGCCTGGGCCGCCCCCGGGTCCTCCCCCACCCCACGTTCTGCAGATGTACGGGCGTAAAGTCGGCTTCGCTTTGGACAACATTTTGAGGAAGAAGGACGATGATGTGAGATACAGCCCTGATAGAGGTGAGGGCGTCGGTTTTACTTGTTGGTCCATCACTTAAATTACCTCCTCATACGCCCCCTGGGCATTGTTTTTTTATTTTATTTTTTGTAAATAACCTCATTCCGAACGGAAACAGACTTCCGAGTAATGTCAGGTTCTACTGGATGTTTAAAGTGGTCACATGACCTTTTCTCAGCCTGAACGAACTGTACTGTTTCATGTTGATGTGCCTCACCAGGATGGCGGGGGTTCTATTCAGTATGTGAATTGCCACAGGAGTGACATCATTAGAGGACATAGACCCAATAGAGAGACTTAAAGGAGAACTATGGGGTCAGTGTTTTTCCCCATAGTTCTCCTAAGGGTCATGGGAGGACACAAACTAACGTCCTCCCGTCACCCAAAGCTCAGTATATAGCGAGCTGTATACTGAGACGCCGGAGCCGGGACATTACTGTGGAGATCCACCCAGCTGCGTGATTGACAGCTGGCTCTGCCTATCCAGAGGCAGAGCCAGCTGTACCCGCCCCCTCCCCCGTCCGTTCCTCCATTCATCGCTAGAGGATCGCAGCGGGGAGGGGGGGGAAATCTGCAGGGAGCCGTGAGTGAGTCACGGCTCTCTGCAGGGACATGATCGAGAAGTGAGCGAGCGACGGTATGTGTTCCCTCACTTACCGATCTATTGAGCCGACTTGTGATAGTCTCATTATCACAGGTCGGCTCGTACTATGAGGATGAGTGAAAATCACTCCCCTCCTAGTTCTCCTCCTTTAACCAGTTGACATCCGCGGTGTTAAACCCCCTTCCCATCCAGGCCATTTTTCAGTATTCAGCGCTGCGGTACTTTAACTGACATTTATTCCGTCATGCAGCGCTGTACTGAAATGAATTTTATACCCTTTTTTGGGGACAGATAGAGCTTTCTTTTGGTGGTATTTATTCACCACTGGGGGTTTTATTTTTTTAATATATTAAGGAAAAATTACCGAAATTTAAAAAAAAAAACAGTTTCCCCTATATTAAATGATAAAACATTTATTATTACCCAATTTTTTGGTAAAATATAAAAGACGGGGTCACGTCGGGTAAAAAGACACTAAACATGTCAAGCCTTAAAATTGCGTGCGCGCGCGAAACCTCAAAAAACGATAATACCCAAAATTGGCCATAGGCGACGCTTTAAAAGCTTTTACCGCTCATCAGTTTAGTGTTATCAGTGATTGATGGCCCTAAAATGATTGCTCTCACTGCGACGTTCGCGGCGATATGTAACATGTGTAGCGCAATTGTAATGTTTGCGCGCTGGGGCACCGGACGCGTATTTACGTTTATAGGCGCGTAAACGTGGGGGTGGGGGAGTTAAACATTTTGGGGGGGTTTCCCCTTTTTCCCTTTTTTTTATATGTGACGTGCAGTGCCGTCCGTCCGTTTTTCTACTACGGGCGGACGGCAAGAGGTTAAGGCATTCTCTGAAAATATCTGCAAAAAGCGCCCTTCAAAAGCCAATCTTTTTTCTTTCTCACGGAAGCTTTCTGAAAGAGAAAGTGACGCTCATGTAATGCCGTGTGAGCGCAGCTTAGTCCTGGAGTACTATGACCCTGGCCTGCTTGATGATGCAACCCCTGGCATAAGGGGGGATGTAAAAGATAGGCTAAGGTCACAGGAAATGGTCAGAATGTAACAAGCGTTCTTTGTGAAGGGGACCTCTGGTGCTGGACAGAGGAGGAAGCCGGGCACATCGCTGGAGTGTTGAGGGGGTAAGCAGATTTCTTTTTTTTTTTTTGTAGCTGTTTTTTATGATGACGAGGCTACCAGCCCCCTAAAAAGGGCAAGTGAAATGCTGTTAGAAAACATTCCCCTTCATGGATCCTGAAATGTACCGTATTTGCCGGCGTATATGGCGACTGGGCGTAGAAGACGACCCCCTACTTTTTGTGTAAAAATATAGGTTTTGGGCTGTACTGGTCGTATAAGACGAGTAGAGCCCAAAATAATGTTTAAATGCGCCCACTAACCTCCATGGCGGTATTCCCGAGTGTGGCTCGGGGTTAATTTTCAGTACCATAAGCGGTAACCCCGAGCTAATACAAAGCCCGCCGTGATTGGCTCAGCGCCGTATACTGTATGTAGCCGAAGCTACATACAGTATACCCGGCGTATAAGACGACCCCCCCAGATTTTCAGGCGATTGTTTTTGGGTCTCAAAACCTGTCTTATACGCCGGCAAATACGGTAATACATTTTAGCTTTGCGTATATGTTTCTTTCTCCAAATAATGTTTCTTATACATTTTCCTATACTTGTGATTTCTCTCTGGCTACCCCGCCCTTCTTCATCCTTTTTATATGTTCCTTGCAGGTGACCGAGGTCACCACGACCTCTCTAGTTCCAGCGAAGACGAGGGCAACCCCAATGAAATGGAGCAGGATAAGGACGAGGAGGAGGATGGAAGCAGCGATGATGATAGCGACAGCATTCAGTCCGATGGCCGGGACAGTGACGGGGGGGAGTACGCACAGCGAGACGCGGAGAGGAAAGGCGGCAATGAACAGCAAGGAGGTGAGAGGGACCCGGTCATCTTATATCCCAACCTGTCCGTCTATCTCCCACACTGACTCATCTCTTCAGGGAAGCCGATCCCACCTCAACCTAACCGCTCAACCATCACGTTCTCAAACAATTCATCCCCACACAGCGACCTCCTCATGTATCACTTCCCCCTCCCTTCTAGATTGTAAGCCCTCAGGGGCGGGGCCCTCCTTACCATCTTGTCTTGAATAGTATTGTGATTGTAATGTCTTCCTTATATTGTAAAGCGCTGCGCAAACTATTGGCGCTCTATAAATCCTGTATTATAATAATATTCTTCAGATGGAGATATCGCCTTGTCTCTGTAGTAGTTTGAACTCTCGTTTTCGTCTCCTCAGGGATCAACGTCCGCTTTTCTGACTCTTCAGAGAAATCTCATAAGAAGAAGAAGAAGCCAGTGAAGGACATTACGCCACTTCAGGCCATGATGTTGCGTATGGCGGGTAGGTCACCCTGCTCTTTCTTTTGATTTTGTTTTTAGCTGCTTGTCCGTTTTCTTGCAGTATACCCAAGAAAAAGAACCCAGTGATGTACTTAATGTGCTTTTACTAAACAAGACTATTGTATATCAGACTATGTGTACCAGAGCAATGAGACGAGGCTTCTGACCTTAAACGTGTTTACGCTGGAAGTAAGGAGATTAAGGGGGGGATATGGTTTTCATGTACAAGATGTTCAATGGTGACGGCAACATTGGCAACAAACTGTTTGAGATTAACTCCATTACAAAGACTAGAGGCCACCACCTAAAGTTGGTGGAGAAAAAATTCCAGCACAATGGGCAAAGAGGGTTCTTTACAGTAAGAGCGGTTAAGGTCTGGAACTCGCTGCCATCGGCCGTCATCTCAGCCAAGAGTGTAGATTTGTTCAAGAAACGTTTGGACAATTTCTTGAGGGACCGTAATATCCAGGGATACCAGTATTCTAAGAATGAGATGATGCGTGGACCTATATGGGTTGGACTTGATGGACGTATGTCTTTATTCAACCCCAAATACTATGTAACTATGTATATAAAAAGTATAAAGTAGGGATGCACCGATATATCGGCCGCCGAAACATATCGGCCGAAAATGGCACTTTTGGCATAATGCCGAAAGTGCCATTTTCCTGCCGATCGGCGCATCCCTGATTTCTTTCCTCCACGCTGGGCGCTGCTCTGTGTCCCAGCGGGGAGGAGGAGAGAAAGTGTGACAGCCGGCCGAGCGCTGCGGGAGGAGAGCGCTGTGAGCGGCTGGCGTCTCTCCTCCCACACCAATCAGCCTCCTGTCGCAGTCCAGCAAAGCAGTGTGGGGGCGGAGACAGCCCGCGCTGCCACAGGAGGCTGAGTTCTCCTCCCCGCACCGCTCGTTCAGCCTCCTGTGACAGCGTGTCAGAGAGGAGAGCGGGTGATCAGTGATCGCTGAGTGTGTGTACATAATTGAGGACATGGTATGTTTACTATATCCTCAATTATGAATGAATGGGAGTGATCTACATCACTTCCTGTTCATTCATAGTTGTAGTTATAGTAAACATACTCGATCCTCATGTTATGAATGAACAGGAACACTCAGTATAGAGGATTCCTGCTCATTGATAACAGGGGACACAGAAAGAGAGATTGAGGACTTTGTGTCCTAAATCTCTTTTTCTATTTTAAAAGCGAAATTTCAGGAGTCTGTTTAGACCCCCAATATTTCCCCGAAGCCCCTAAAAGTAATGTTAACAATATTTAATAAAAAATGAATTAATAAATAAAAACATTTTCGGTCTGGGCCTGACGATTCTTTTTGTTTCCGTTTTAACATTTCCATTTCAGTGCACCTCTAGTATAAAAAACACATACGGAGTGCTACAAATATGCATACAGACACACATGTAGATAGCACATGTGTGTATGTATGCATATATGTAGCACTCCGTATGTATCTCAGGAAATGAACATTGGCAATAGTCTGTATGCAATAGGGATCCAGTAAAAGTCACTTGGCTTCCATTACAGCTGGTTCACGATTTCCCTAGTGCACGGGAACCCAGGCATCAAGCCTTCTCAAGAAAAAGGGTTCCTGACCTTGGCAGTCTCTCTCTTAGTGAAGCTTTAGTGTTGTCCCATGGTGGAGTCCTCCTTTCAGCTTTTGCTGCAAGCCTTTAATCTTGGAAAATGAATAAACCCTTTACATTAATAACCCTTTAATTTCGGAAAGTTTGTAGCCCTTCCCAATTTTGTTCCTTCATAAATTTCTAAGAGAGAAGCATTTCCGCCTGCAAACTCTAGATGGCAGCTTGGCACCATAAATGCCACTGGTCAGCTACAGTGTTTCCCCGAAAATAAGACAGTGTCTTATATTTTTTTTGCCCAAAAAAACACACTAGGTCTTATTTTCAGGGGATGTCTTATTTTTTCTTTTGAATGTGCAACAAAATGTACAACAATCCAAAGTTATCTGGTATCGCTCCGCCTGTCACAGTAACTGGCGCTATAGAGAGGAAGTATCGGCTAATGCGGCTGTGGTCCCTCCGCCGCCGCAGCCTGGCTTTCTACAGCACCGGCTTCCTTTGCCATCAGGGACAGCGGTGCAGCAGTGGGGACATCAGACAGTGGACAGCGCGGTAAAGTACGGTACCATTTACCGTTACACATTACAGTACCATTACATTAAGCAGTGCCTTCGGGGGGACAGCAGTTGGTGAAGTCTGGTACTGGAGTGCTCCCTGTCACTGCGCTGGCCGGAGGGAGTCCCCTGTCATCCCCTTAATACAGTAGGTCCCTGCAGGCTGATACCATCTCTCCTGCTCTTCAAGTTCCCCCTCACATGCCACCACCAAACCAGGTCTTATTTTCAGGGTATGTCTTATATTACACGACTCTTAAAAAAGAGTGCTAGGTCTTCGGGGAAACAGGGTATGTGTTTGTTATCACAGTTGCTATAAAGCTCCATTACTGGACTAGAGCTCCTTTTAAACAATGGCAACAGCTGAAGATGTATATTTTCTCAGCAAGTGGTTTACAATAGATACAAATACACCACTTCCATCCTAAAGGGCAACACAACTGGTCTTGTTCAAACACTTGCTCAATTTAAACAATAGCGTGGCAAAGAGATGTTCTCACAAGAAACTGAATGGACAGGAAGTGATGTAGGAGGGGATGTAGATCACTTCCCATTCATTCATAATTGAGGATATAGTAACCATACTCTGTCCTCCAATTATCTACAAACACTCAGCAATCACTGATCGCCTTCTGCTTGTACCCGCTCTCCATCCTGACACGCTGTCACAGGAGGCTGAGCGAGAGGTGCGGGAGGAGAGCTCAGCCTCCTGTGACAGCGCGGCCCGTTTCCGCCCCCACACCGCTCTGCCGGACTGTGATAGGCGGCTGAGCGGTGTGGGAGGAGACGACGGCCGCTCACAGCTCTCTCCTCTCACAGCGCTCGGACCCGCTGTCACAGTTTCTTTCCTCCCCGCTGGACGCTGCTCTATGTCCCAGCGGGGAGGAGAGAAAGCAGGCATGCGGCGCTGTATCGGCAGGAAAATTGCACTTTTCAGCATTATGCCAAAAGTGCCATTTTCGATATGTTTTGGCGGGCTCTTTGCGATGCTCCTGTTCAGCTCTGCAGGCTTGCTTTTTATGGCCCATTGGAGAAAATCCAGTTACGCCACTTTGACAGGTCACATGACTGGGATCTTCTTCCCAGTTATTCTTGGAGTGCAATAAGTATTCTTATGCAGTAAGTACTTCTGGTGGATATACATAGAGTTTCATGACTCCCAAATAACAACCAAACCTCATTATGTTCTCAAACAATTCATCCCCACACAGCTCCCTCCTCATGTATCACTGGCCCCTCCCTTTTTAGATTGTAAGCCCTCAGGGGCGGGGCCCTCCTTACCATTTTGTCTTGAATTGTATTGTGATTGTAATGTCTTCCTTACATTGTACAGCGCTGCGCAAACTGTTGGCGCCATAAAACCCTGTATAATAATTATGTCAATCCGCAGGTCAGGAGGTGACGGAGGAGGACGATGAACACGAAGCTGAAGACTATTCATCTCCCTCGTCGTCCGACGACGAGTCGGAGCCGGAGAATGAGCAGCAGACCGAGGATTCAAAAGGGGAGCGCACAGAATCCGGCTCCACCTCCACGCAGGTGTCAGCGCCGCCGCCTGTTACCGTCCCGCCCCCGCCGCTGCAGATGCCGCCATCCATAATGACAGGACCCCCTCCTCTCGGCCCACCGCCACTTCGTCCTCCTGGACCACCTACAGGGATGCCGCCCGGGCCACCTCCAGGTAATGCGTTTGGCCTGTTAATGGTCAGAACAGGTCACAGGTCTCTCCTCTTTTTTTAAAGAGTACCTGTACTGCACTTAGTCGAATGTAATTCTGTGAAGGAGGATGTTAGGCAAGGTAGAGTCGGGTGTACTGCTTTGTAAGGCTTCCGTTTTCCTCTCATACCAAATGTGTTACTCCAAACTCCTTCACAGTCTAACTTCTATGTAGCCACCAAATGCATCGGGGTGGGGTGGGAGTAATGTCGCCATTCTAAATGAATGGCAGTATAGCATATGGATATGGAAAGGGGGTCATTTGTGTATTGTTCCATAGCTGAACCGGATGAATATGAGTAGTGAAGGGCTGACCCGGAAGGGAAATGAATTGCATGAGTATATCATCTCTTATGGGAGCTTTATCCTTCACAGTTTTTGCTCGTTGTTTGAATTTTCTACTTAACACCATGCTTGTGTTTTAGGGGCGCCTCCATTCCTGAGGCCACCGGGTCTTCGCGGCCCACCCCCACGTCTGTTACCACCTGGGCCTCCACCGGGCCGACCTCCTGGCCCTCCTCCAGGTCCACCTCCAGGCTTACCGCCAGGTCCTCCTCCGCGTGGACCACCACCCCGCCTGCCCCCACCAACACCTCCAGGTAACTTTCTGTACTTATTTCATGTCGGATGATATTGAGCCGTGATGTGCATAGGTGGTCCGCCATCATCTGCTAGTCTGCGGCTGTATAGAATGTCAGGCTGCCTGTAGCATTGTTTATTAAAGGAGAACTATGAGGCCAGTGGTTTTCCCCATAGTTCTCCTAAGGGTCACGGGAGGATATATTCTAGCGACCCAAAGCTCACTCTACCGCGAGCTTCAGCTCGCGGTATACTGAGACCGCCGCAGCCGGGACGGATCCCGGCGTTCCTGTCGAGATCCGCCCAGCTGCGTGAGTGACAGCTGGCTCCGCCTATCTAGAGGCAGAGCCAGCTATGCCCTCCACTGTCCGTTCCTCCAGTCAGCGCTAGAGGATCGGAGCCGGGAGGGGGGAGGGGGAATCCCTGCAAGGAGCCGTGAGTGTCAGTCACCGCTCTCTGCAGGGAGGTGAGCAAGCGCCGGTATGTGTTCGCTCACTTCCCGATCTATTGAGCCGACCTGTGACAGTCTCATTGTCACACGTCGGCTCGAACTATGAGGAGGAGTTATTTTCACTCACCTCATAATTCTCCTATAAGGAAGAGCTGCTTTGGATACATATGCAATTAACCCTAATCCAAGTGTAGAAGAGACTTTTGGGCATTGGTTGCCCAAGCACTGCATCATGGGAGTAGCGAACACCTGGAAGCGCCATTGTCGCAAGATGGAGGGGGGAGATGTCAATGCCCTAACTACCTAAAATGTACATATTTCTCCTTTTAACTCCCGAGTTCAATGTCACTGAAATATTTCAAACAAAGCCCCCTCCCCCGTCCATTCTGCCAATCAGCGCTGGAGGATCGGGGAGGAATCCCTGCGCGGAGCCGTGAGTGACAGTCACAGCTCTCTGCACGGATAGATCGAGAAGTGAGCGAGCGCCGGTATGCGTTCCCTCACCTCCCGATCTACTGAGCCGACCTGTGACAGTCTCATTGTCACTCCCGCCATTTTCCAGCTGTAGGGGTTCTGCTGAACACTTCTCTGTGCACGGCCAATCGCGACAGGCTTTGTACTAATGAATACATAGCCTGCCGTGATTGGCTCGGCGGAAGACGGGGAAGACGCAGCGGGGATCGTGGACAAGGTAAAAGACCGTAATCCCGAGTGTGACTCGGGGGGGGTTACCGCTTATGGTACTGAAAATTAACCAGGAGCCACACTCGGGAATACCGCCATGGATGTTAGTGGGTGCGTTTAAACATTATTTTGGGCTATACTCCCAAAATATAGTATATAGCAGTGGTGGCGAACCTTGGCGCTCCAGCTGTGCCAAAACTACAAATCCCAACATGCGTCTGCCTCTGGGAGTTATGTCTGTGGCTGTCAGAGCCTTGCAATGCCTCATGGGACTTGTAGTTCCAAAACAGCTGGAGTGCCAAGGTTCGCCACCACTGGTATATAGTATAGCCCAAAACCTATATTTTAACACAAAAAGTAGGGGGGTCGTCTTATACGCCGGGCAAATACGCTATCTACAGAGAGCGAGTTTCGGCAGCGGCCCCCGGGGAACCTTGCCGTCGGGGAGTGTGCTTTGGGGGGGATCCGGTAAGAATTGTGTCTTTGTAGTAATATCTCTCCGTCCCGTTCATTCCTGCAGGCATGCCACCTCCTCCTCGGCCCATGATGCGTCCCCCGATGGTTCCTCCTCCTGGCACCGCTCCCCCCGGCATGTACCCGCCGACCCAGATGGCCAACCCAGGCGTGCTGAGCGCGCCGCCCAGCTTGATACAGAGACCCAAATCGGACGAAAGCGGGGCCACCATCGAGAAGAAGGCCACCGCCACCATCAGCGCCAAACCCCAGATCACCAACCCCAAAGCCGAGGTCACGCGCTTCGTACCCACCGCCCTCCGCGTC